TACATTACATAAACTATTATACCAGACATGTTACATTATCAGTTCGTCAATAAGCTAACTGTAGCCTGCATGTAAAATACACTGTAATTGAACCATAAGAAGTAAGCTTCTTGATGTTTAAATTAATTACTTACAATTTCTGCTTTGCAGGTTGATTTATTGATTTTTTTGTTTGAATAACTAATGCTTAAGGTACAACCGATGAAATCCATTCTCAATGCCTTTTTACACCTCCCCGGTAATGGATATTGTTTCACACAAAGGTCGGTCAAAAATTCGGTATTATCTCTCAGTGTTTTAGTGAGGATAACTATTTTCAAAATATTTCTCCTTAGGTGGTGTGTTGAGGGTCGGTAATGAACATGTCATTTACATATACCACGCTTGAATCTCATCCTTCTTAAATGAATTTATTGCATTGTGGCAAAATTTTAATTGTCACATTGGGTACCATCACTTAATCCTCATCATATTTTTACACAGCACACAATGTATCAAGATATCTATTTTAAAGGAAAGAAACGATAAAATTTGGCTTGTGTAGAATATATTGAAATTTATAGTTATTGACAGACAAAACCTGCGAATTTGAAAAGAATACTATAATATTGATTTGGATTGTAAGAGAAGCATGGTCCAATCAATAATTCATATTCTGAACATAATAGAACGTTGAAATAAATTCAGATTAAACTCTGTCCTTGTTTTCTCAACTTGACTTAGTAATGGAAAGAGCCTGCTTTAATCAAATTAATAAGCTGGTTCAATAGTTCAGCAACGGACAACGAACAACGTTACTGCCTCACAATTCAATCAATAAACCCTTATTAATTGCGTTGTGATACTGGGAACAATGTAATTGATAGTCAGTTGGGTTAAAAGTTCAGAACGTGAATGACCACTTACAACTAGAAGGTTATAGACAATGTATGATCCAAAAGGTCGTTCACTTAGGAAAATTACTGAGCATGCACACTCTCTCTTCTCTCCCCTCCCCTCTAAACTTGATAAAAGGTTAAAGCTGTCCTTGACTATCACGCAAGAAACACGCGTGACTTTTTAGAACATAGGCATAGTTCATTAGACAGACCAATCTGACCTTGAATGAAAACGTGGTATACTGATGATCACCAGCTTCCAAGATATAAAAGGGGCTTTAGGCTGGTGAGTCTCAGTGAGACTTCAAGCTTCAGAGAGTGTTGTGTCTATTTCTTACAGGTAAGAAAATTATGCTTTATACTCACTCTTAAAGTTGAAAGATTTTATAGTAGTTGAGTTCTTTTTATTTTATCACTATAATGTAATAGTGAGTTTTCTTTTTTTTCTACTATGAAATATTTTACTGATTTGATATTTTACTGAATTGATGTTCATTGTATTTATAATATAATATTATTGAGAGTTTCCATCTTCCATAATCATAATGTAATGAAATATTTTACAGCTTCGATGTTCATTAGTATTTGTTTGAAATAATTATCAGCTTCATGTTATAATTTGATTGCGAATAAATATATATTCTTTAAATAATAAGTATAACGCTCACAGATCTTTTCCAGGTCATTATCTTACATTAAATGGAATAAAATATATTTCTTGAAAATGATTATGACATTATTACAGTTATTGAATTTTAGGCTCTTTGAATATTTAAATCACTTGTATTCATAAATGCAGAAAAATGAATAAACAAATGAAGTAGTAGATTGTGGAAGAACTATTATTGTAATATGTATTGTATGTAGTTTCAACATAAATAAATTTATATGTTGTATCTTTAGAATGTAGTTCTATATATCAATACAGTGCGACTTCAAGCTTCAGAGAGTGTCGTGTCTATTTCTTACAGTGCGACTTCAAGCTTCAGATAGTGTTGTGTCTATTTCTTACAGCGATCCCACCTCTTCGCAGCCGAGCTTATTCCCACAAGATGCAACATAGGTGTGACCCTTATTCTTAAGAATGTCGAACTTTCTTCCTTCTCGTAACTAGGCACGAGAAGAAGGTTATGTTAGAAATAACTACTAACAAGCTCAATTTTCCGACAGAGCAAGCAGACTCTTACATAACAACAAATTGAAAAAATCTAGCATAATAAATGCATAAGTATTTATGTTAAAATTGTTTTTCTTTAAATTCTTAACACATAGTTCAACAGATATAAGTTATGAGCAGCTCTCAGAAACAGATTCATCTTTTTAATGTGTAACCCAAATCTGATTTCTCCTGTATCGTTCGCCTTCTTTCTGTTTCAGGACTGACTAGTATTGCATCACGGGACCACGTGATCTGTCGCCTCATAAAAGCTCTGCAATTTACGGAATCGTGGTATCTTCCGTGCAATATAATCACTATCTATCTACGATATGCAATTTATAAACATTACAGTCGAATTAAAATTTGTAGAAAATTACATACATAAAAGAAAAAAAATATTTCTGGTTTCTTTTAAAGATACAAGTTTTCCGGGTAAAAAAAAAACATTAAAAGTCCTCATTATTTTTCATCATGAACATGCTTTGACTTCTTGTGAAAAGGTGATGCTGGATAATTCGGATCCAAATCGACCGTGTGGTGAAATTTTGAATTTAATTAAAATGTTACTTTTAATGAACAAATATATCTCCAGGAAAAAGTTGCAGCTTTGTGGAAGAGTTTTTATTTTTATTTTATGCCAACATTTATGTAGCCTAATGGTTGAAATAAATATATGCAAAGGCCGAACACTTGCCATCTATCGATGTTACGTTTTAATGATGATATTTTCTTCATTTGGACCCATTAAGAAGAAGAAATATTAAACAAATTTATTAAATGGATGAATAACCAACATTCAGCATTTACATTAAATCTAAATAAGCAAACAAATGCAAAGGAAATACCATGTAAAGGAAGATAAGTTGAATGCCAGGAATATTCTTAAGAAATTGCCACTCATCAACTGTTGCATCAAAATAGTTTTTATCCACGGCATAAGTACAGGGCATTGTTACATCCTAAATACCGAGGTTGCGACAGATTTGCAACAATGAGCAAACCTTTAATGATGTTTGTTCATTGCTTTTCTTATCGAATGACTACGATAAAGAGGTTGCAAATTCGGAGGCTTAGAAAAATGAAATCTGAGGCAATACAAATAGTAAATATTCGCAGCAAAGGACAAGAAATAAAAGCCAGTCATTGTTCATTTCAATAGATGTTAAGGCCCTGTATCATTGCATGATAGACAAAATTTTAGTGATTTGCAACAGATATACCTTTAGCATTTGGAACATGCACTTTGGTTACAGCTTGCAAACGAAAAAAGGTCACAATACATTTTGTGAGATACAATCTACCGAATGTCTACAAATCTGGTTGTTTTGATGGCTAGTTGAATAGTTGTAAGCTGTGATTTTCTGAGTAAAGTCAGACATAGTACAAATCTTGACTACAGTTAGAGATTTTAAAATCAAACAACAGATTTCATGTGATACAAAAAATATAGATTTTGGTGTTTGTTTTATCTGCATAAAATAAGAATGTAGTGAAACCAAAATAGAATAAATATTCATTAGGAAATAGTGTCCTTTTTTTGGAAATACGACTGCACAACATCTGCAGGTTAAAATCCGATAGAAGAAAAGAAAACTTACTGGATAAATCGTTAAGCAGCTGAAATTGATGTTAAAATTTAATGGACGATGTAACCTCGATCACAGTCTTGTTCACTTTATTTTTAATGTTTTCGTTTCTTTTTAAAACCTTAATTACTTTATATTATTTTTCATTTTTTATCCTCAATAGTCTGCAAGATCATTTAGAAACAAATTATATCTGCTTTGTGAATTAAGTTGTATATATGGCTGTAGAGAAATGTTTTTCGGATTACTTCAAACAGATCCAATCAACATAGATTTATCTTGAGAAAAAAGAAATAACAAATAGAATAATGATTTAGATTATTCTTGTTGTGCAGTCCATATTATATATATATATATATATATATATATATATATATATATATATATATATATATATATATATATATATATATATATATATACATACAGAAAATTGGTATGCTTTTGTATGTTTATTTTCAAATGTGATTTGTCTTTAAGTATTCTGAAGTATCCACGGAAACAAAACACAATTTCTAGGTAAGAAATAAGAAGTAAGTACACTAAACAAATTTGTTTAACACACAGGATAAATACCAGCTTCTTCAACAAGGAGGAGGTTAGATACAGTGGATTATATACCACTTTCCAGGAAAACATCCAAAGAAACATTTTAAGAAAAGATACAAGTCTGGTATAGGACATTGAGATAATAATTTTCATAGACAGTTATATCACAGTTCTCTCTCGCATTTTGAGTTAAAATATATTTGGGGATTTATCAGTAGTGGGAAAGAGCCGCTGGCATTTAATTTTAACTATTAATCAACTTGTCAGTAACCAATCGTTGGCTTTAAAGGAAACCTCATCCGGGATAATTATCTTCACGACACAAAATATTTAACCTATCTAGCAATGGACGTGTACAAGGAAATGCGATGAAGAGTCACATTATAAATACATGTAGCTAAAAACGCGCCCTCGTAGTGTTTGAACTAACTTTGAAAGCATTAGATTGTTAGATGCGTAAAGTTTGAATTTAATGTGGTGCTATGGACTAAAAGCTAACATTCAAGTTGTATACTTTCCAGCAGCAAAACCAAAGCTTTAAAAGCCACTAAAAGTGTGTGTGTGCGTGTGTGTGTATGTATGTGTGTGTGTGTGTGTGATCTGGATTCCTAACGTAGCTTTAACGTTGTTTGAGACACATCGCTACGATGTCTGTAATGTGACAGATTATAGTGATGTCTAGCACTGGGCATCATGCTTCAGACATGTAGCACAAACTCCCACCCAGTCACATTATCCTGACACCAATTCGACCAGTCCTAACACTAACCTCCTAATGCTGGACGCAAAGCGAGGCATATGTTAGTACCATTTGTATAAGTTTTGGTATGACTAGGCAGGGAATCAAACCCGTGACCTCCCGCATCCGAGGCGGACGCTCTAACCATTAGGCCACCGGAGCGGTCTCATTACAAGTAGTATGAAATGATTAAAATGTAGAATTCTAAATGGTCGGAATATCTATAATCCGGTCAGAATCAACCTTACCTATGAAATGTAGTAGGAATATAAGATATAACCCATTTCTGTTATTTTACCAACGTGAATGTACATCCTTGACTAATAAAACAGCTACTTGCTCACCTGAGATTTGTTTGTTATAGCCATATATAAGACAATATCAGTTTATCACAAACTTTCTTAAAATTTAAATAGGAAGAAAAAGGAAAGCAAATCGTACTTACTTCTCCTCAATGCAAAATTTTTCATTGTGACAACCAGAAGATGTCAGGAAAATGGCATTAATACCACTTAAGGTGGAGATATTTACCTAACATTTTTAATATAAAGTTGTGTATTACACCATATATAAAATATATAGATTATACATCACTTAGTTAAATTGGTGTTAAGGTTATTTGACAGGTAAATTATCTAGATCATACATCACTTAGTTAAATTTGTATTAAGACTAATTGACAGGTAAATTATATAGAATATATATCACTTAGTTAAATTTATATTAAGGTAATTTGACATGGTATTTTGTAAATATAACGTATTATCACACCATTTCTGGTCATTAAAGAGTTCCGTTTATATTTATGTGTGGTGTGGGTGAAAGAGAGTTGCGCTCACAACTACTTCAAATGAGCTATAGAGTCTTTTTATTTGGCGATATATATATATATATATATATATATATATATATATATATATATATATATATATATATATATATATATATATATATATATATATATATGCCTTTTGAGAAAACCATGCAGCTTAATCATCGGTGGGGATGGAAAGTAGTGAAAAGATATTTTAGTCAATGCTGTTTAGTAACATTTTCGATTGATTTTCTGTATGATTTCATAGCTTTAAATCTCGTAATATATCATCTATTGTATACGAAAAAAGTTAACTGATTAAAAAAATTGTCGATGAAACAAGAAAGTGTTTCTTTGAGAGCTGTGAAACTCAGTCTTGTCTCGCCATTGCTTCCAGTTTTAAAAAATGACAGCAATCCATTGCCCGTCTCATGTCCGCAAGACACCACACACACACACACACACACACACACACACACACACACACACACACACACACACGACAAAACAAACAAACAAAAACCACTGTAAGAAATTTGCACTTGGTTGAAAATATTGCAGATATAGTCAGCTTATTTCAGGTATAGATTAAAATAAACCCCAACAAACAACTACAGCCAGTTAGCAGGGACGTTAACCTCATCAACCGTCAAAAATGTTTTCTCACTACCGTTACAATTAATTGACAATAATTTATGAAAGTACATTTGTAAAGATTTTTGACATTCATAGTCCAAGCTAATTATTATCCAACCAAGGACTAAACTTTAGAATTTTCGTTGTAATGCATTGGATTCATTAACATACTTCAATATTCTTTAAGACGTGTTAATTAAGTACTTCATTACAATATTCCGTATATCTTCCATAGGTAAGTGTTGGGTTAGTATAATCTATATCGTTTGTTTTAAATTTAGCCAGTGAGTTTATTCAGTAAATTAAGTCTTCTATAATTTTTCTGGTTGAAACGTTTCCTTGTAATTTTGTCGAGAAAGAAGTGAAAATGTACCTAATATGACAATGAACATCCCTTTTCTGGCCTTTTTTGAAATATTAGATCCATAAAAGAAGGTTTACTTTCCGGAAGCAAACCTTCCATCTGGCTATATTGTTCCCAAAGTTTAGGAAGTATGAAGAAATGCATTAAATCACAGTTCTCTTTTGTCACATTGAACTTTGCATTAAACATAGATTCAGGAATTATTATTATATCCGTTGACAATTTTGGTTGCTTGTCACCGAAACAGAACTTATGAACTGTGGTTTTGATAGCTTTGAAATACGTAACTTCCTCAAGAAAGTCTGGACCCTGCGCAGCCACTTTTGTCCAAAAGGTTTTGTTGAAATATTCATATAACATGTAATCTGCACGTGACCAGTTTCTGTGTATTTCTTGCTGTTGTTTAGTTGGTTGATAAAATCTGTATGAATAGTTTCCTGTATTTGTTTTCTGATACAAAATGTCCTTTAGAGACCAACACATGAGCCTTTTTAATAAGACAAGCGATTCATCAAAATACTCTACTAACATCACTAACTTGAAATGTTTGTCAATAAATCGGATATATTCCAAAATGGCTGTTTTGTTGTTCATAATATCCTCCCGTCCTTTTGGAAATCCTAGCGGCATTCCAAGACAATGAGACATCATACTTCGTGTCGGAGAAAAATAATCTGGTATACACCAACGCTGATAGTTCTTATTTGGACTTGAATATATTTTTTCGTACTTTTCAATATTTGAAAGAAACTCTGAGAGTTGGTTCGATACTTTTGGTATTTCGCCAATTGATGCCATCTTGAAATAGCTAAAGGTCGACTTAAAATGGTTCCATGGTTCCCGTATGATGGAAATGTAAATAGTGTCATTTGGCATTAAGTCATCCATAAATGTTTTGTTGTAAATCGCATGTTCAGTTAGAATATCAAAAGGTCTCTTAGAGGGTCTGTAGTCCATTCTTTCCATCGGTCCCGGCCAACCAAGATATGGATTTCTTTTTCTTGGGAGAACAAAATTCAATTTTCGAATATATCCAAAGCGCCGAAGTATTGTTTCCATAGTTTCCGTAGCACATTTCATACATTTAATGAAAACGATATGTCGCTTTTCTTCCGTGCATACAAGTTTCTTGTTCATGTTAGTCCCACTATCCCCTGCAGACAAAATTCGTAAAGAAATGAAATAAACGATAAACAGGCACATACAAAGGAATACATATTTCGAAACTCTTCTCATTTTCCTAGGGAACATGCTATAAATATCCCCAACGATGATTTTATGTATCTCGCTGTACATTATATTCAGTCATTGGTACTTTTGACTTTATATATGAAAACCTAAGCGGAAGTAAATGACCACATGTGCGAACCCATAGTCTAAAGAATTCGCCTTGGGTACATTGGCTTTTGGCATGCTGTTGATAGTTTGAAAGTTACATAACTCGCATTACTTTCCGTCTCCCAAATCAGGAATAAACATTTGACAACAGGGACAATATTATGCAAGAACCGGCGTGCACAAATGAATTGAAAATAAACGAAATACTTCAGTTATTGTAGCAAATGATACACATTTCTGTCGTATACAAAAATACGCTAAGAGTCACATTATAAATTCACCAATACCTACTCTTGTAGAACATATCTTTATTAATGACAGAATATAATGCCGTTCTGGAAATATATTTCTTTCTACCCGCATGTCCGTCCGTTCGTCCATCCATCCATCCATCCATTCATCCATCCATCTATGTATAATTTAGCTATGTAAATAGAGCACGACGAATCGTTCTTTTCTTTACCAAGTCCTATATGAACTAATTTTACTTGATCTAAGACAAATACAATGGTTTGGAATTCCTTTTATCATTCCTAATGGAACATTCCACCGAATTGTAGTACACGCTCGCTAGCAGAACATGACAAGGTCGCAAATATGGTTGGCCATTGACTCAAATTTAAGTAGTTTCCCATTCTTGAAGAAATCTCCCTGCTTCTCGGCTTGAGAAAATGAATCATCATAAAATATTCCCTGTTTAATATCTCCCTGTATATCTTCTAATTTATGCACTACAATATCTCTTAAAACCACTTCTGTGATTATAAAAGCCTCTTTCATGAAATAAGAAAGAAAGCCTTTAATAAAATATACCAAATATCATATATTCTGTCTTAGTTTATAGTTGAGCTTTCCATAGACATCTCTTGTAAGACGGCTAAATACGTTAATTCGTATATTTGATCTGTTGTCGGCTTACTGACATTAATGGATGACATATAGATCAGTGATGTGACCAATTCCATAAAATAAGAAGTGTTTAAAATGCATTTATCCATTTTTGTTTAATTTTTAGCAAAATGATTCAACATCTTAGTCTTACGAGATTACGTTTTTGTACTACAGGCTCTTTTTAACCAAGAAAATATTCGATATTGTCTTTCTCCAACAATTCATTGATCTTTTACATATTGAACTATTTTTTCTTCTAGCTACCTTTCATTAAAAATGTCTCCAGAAGCGATATGTATATTATCTCTCGATTTTGTTTTTACTTTTTCTAGACACGTCCTATTTTGAATAGGTGTATATCACTGTCAAAATATATTCATTTATGATTAAATTTTTCATAAGTTCTCATTGCAAGGACATATGCTTTTAACATATCGTTTATTTTACTAGCTGAACATTTTTGGTAGTTAAAATGTGAAATAAATGTTCCATGTTTTCATTTCTACAAGTCATGATCTAACTTAAAAATGTATTTAGTCTACTCGTTTTCCCTTTTGTTGATTTTCTTGATTGGTCTGTTCATTGATTTTAGCTGTGCTTGAACAATTCCACATTGCTGAACGTTTATTATATGTAGTTCTTCCATCAAGTCGTTGAGAACCACTTTAGTCATACAGTGTTTTAGCGGAAAGAAATAGTCCGTGAATGCACAGGTGGTCGATGAGGCCCATGTGAGCCCTGAATGTCCTGTGGCATTGTGGACATGGGATGGTAACAACACTGATTGTGGGGTTACTCGGCATTTCCTGGCCAGCCTTCGTTTTTCTGCCGCGGCTGTCATGTTGGCCTAGCAAGCTGCAGCACTTTTAATGATAGAAGAGTGCCACACGACCTTTCTTCAAAGTTCTTCAATGACGTTTTCAGGGTATCTTGATATCGTTTTCTTTGGTCTCATTTATTGCGTTTGTTTTACTTTTACTCGCCGTAAAAGAGTTTATAAAAATGATTATATCAAAAATATGATTGATGCTACTGCGAAATTTATATAAATCATGAATAGTAATGCATTAAAATCAATACATGTTAAATTTTCTCGTTAATGAAAATATATTATTGAGAATAC